GTCGGTTGCAAACATCGATTTAACTGATTTTCATTTCTGAAAATTGATCTTTAGAGTTTTGAAGTATGCCAGATCTTTGTCAGATTTGTCGGGATGAATCTTCTTGATATGGGCTTTACGTGCAAAGAAATAAAGTTATTAGTAATAAGTAGTATCGTAAACTATGCCTACGGTATCAATTTTTGTTTTTGTTTTTTATGTGGTTTCTTTCCCTTCACCATTTCTTATGTTGCATTTCATGAAAATTTAACACCGCCCCCTTAACGCTCACTACCGCCCCCCAAACTGATGCCACCGGGGGGGTGGAGGCGCTCACTTTGAAAACCACTGATCTAGGGCCTTGGGGGAGACACATTTTTCACCATGCCTGTGTGATCAGACGGCAGACCAATACCGCGGGCGGATGAAAGGGACTTGGTGGCTGCTGGTAGGACATGCTGCACTTATTAGGATTTTGGGGCCGCGGTGAAAAGGCATGGCCACGGTCCCACGGATTTCAGTCACTCACACACAATCAAATAATTCCTTCACCAATTGCTTTGACTCATTGCGATTGACAAAAACAAAGAGGGGGACATGAAAAACATGAAAAATCTTGACGAGGACAGCATCAGGGACCTTATAGAAATCCTCAACTGGAGTCTATGGAAGGGAGAGGAGAGCCACTTAGTACCACTCCTCAAGCCTGACAAGGACCAGAGTAAGATACGAGGGCTGTCCCACTGAAAACCGGAAAAGGTCTATAAAAGCAACAATCTTTGTCCTATTATTTAAACTAAAAATGTAACACCTCATACCTCAATACATGCTTTATTTCTCAATGTAATCACCATCCCGCTGGACGCATTTTTCCCATTGCTGGATCAGAGAGAAGATACCTTCCTGAATAATTTTTTGTCAAGGGATTTCAACCAATCTTTCATTGCTTCCACGAGGTCTTCGTCGTCTGTGAATCGCTGTCCAGAAATATGGGCCTTTCATAGGTCCAAAAAGGTGATAATCTGACAGGCCAAGTCAGGACTGTGAGGGGGCGTGGCAGAACTTCCCAGCCGAACCTTTGGATCCAGTCTTTCATAACGTTTGAGATGTGTGGCGTTGCGTTGTCGTGCTGCAAAATGACCCTGCGGGACAACCGGCCTCGTCTTTTTCGGCGCACAACCTCTCCCAAGAGTCTGGCAGTATCTGTTAGCATTAACAGTTTGTCCTGGTTCCAGAATGTCAAGAAGCAGAACACCCTAAGCATCCCAGAAAACCGTGGCCATGAGTTTCTTCACCGATGGCTGAACTTTAAAACTTTTTCGAGGGACGTGAAGACGTGTGCTTCCAAACCATTGAATCCCTCTTCGTCTCAGGGGTCATGTGGTGTATCCAAGTCTCATCACCTGTAATAATGCTTTTCAGGAATGCTTCATCGTAATGCTGGAGGTCCCCAGATACGTTCATGACTCCCGTGACAGCTTGGCGACAACGATTCAACAAAGTCTAAGTCTAAGACACTTCAACACGTTGCGTCTTGTGGTCAGCTGTCAGCTCTTTTGGGACCCATCGAGCAGATACCTTTCAATAGTGCAGCTCACCAAACACTATTCTATGGAAAGTCGACCTTGAAGTGTTTAGCGACTTGAAAATTTCGCGAATTTTTAGGCGCCTGTATGTTGGAATGAGTTCGTTAACGCAGTCATGACAGAAAAACAAGGTTCTTGGTGAACTTTGTCATTGACATCCGTATGCCCGGCTTTGAACTTACTACACTACTCATATACCTGTGACTTTGACTTAACTTTCTCCCCGTAAATGGACTTTATTTCAGTGTGTATTTCTATAGATTTGAGACTTTTAGCGGTCAGAAACCGAACGACAGACCTCACTTCTACCCTTGACCAATTTTCCAAAACGGGGTAGCCATCTTTGGAGAACTGCTGTGTTCGTTTGGTTTGTGCGATACTCATGGTGCTCAATCAGGAAATTCCTAAATGATTGTTTTACAAATGTGCGTGTTTTACAAATGTGCGTTTACAGAATGTGAAAATATTTAATAGTTTTCAAATTACAGCCAAATTCCGTTTTTTCGTGGGACAGCCCTCGTAGCTGCTTATCGAGTAATCACGATGCAAAATTGCGAGAGAAAGCTCTTTCAAAAGGAGGTGGGGTATTCAATCGCAAAAGAGCTAGAAAAGTAAGAGGGACTTTCAGCAGCAACTCTGGGTAGCTACAGAAAGGGGAAGGAAACGTGGACGAATGCCGCTATCCTAGCATCAGATGTTTATGAGGAGTTTTGAAAGAGGCGAGGAGACTCTTGATAGCTGTACTAGACCTCGAGTAGGCCTACAATAGGGTTGAGTACGATGTCCTTTTGAGAACAATGATCAAAATGAAGATCAGCCCCCAGCTCGTAACATGGGTAGTTGAGGCATCGCTGAATAGGAGAGTTGCAATGCAGCTGGGAAACTGGACGTCTGACACCAGAAGCATAACACCAGGGTTGCTGCAGGGATCTCATCACTCACATCAGTGTTATTAAACATATACAGAGTTGGAATCACTTCAGGACAACTGGAAGGCCCAGGGCGTGTGCTGAGCTTTGCAGATGATGTCCGTCAAGAAACAGCAAACGCGGTGCAACAGAAGTGTATACCACAAAGGCAAACTCCATCCAGACAAGGCCCGTGTGCTGTGGTGCTCGCTGAATAATCACATTGTGAAAGCACAGATGCCCACAGTCACCATCAACGACAGGGTCCCGGAGCGTGAGCAATCATTGAGGTATCTAAGTATCCCCTCTGACAGATCACTCTCAGGTAAAGATCACATAACCAAGATAATCACAAGAGCCAGAAAAGGTCTAACTGCGCTGAAAACTATGGGGTGTAGCAGAATGCCACAGAGAATTTTGGCCATACTATACCAGATTCTTGTGCTGTCTGTGATAGACCTTGGCCTCGGTCTCCTCACCTTGATACTGTCGCAGCTGAAACACCTTGAAAGAATTCAGAACGAAGGAATGCACACTGTTCTCCGGTGCACACGAAACACATCCTGCGAGGCAGTGCGTTATCTCCTGGACCTCCCAGCCATGGTAGAACATCACAAAATTGCTCAGTTGAAAGCGTATTTGACGATTCAGCACCGATGATCAGCACTCACTGCATGACAAAGTGGGAAGAACTGTACACACACGTCTGCTTAGAGGGACTGAAAGGATGAATGAGGCAGAGACAACTTTAGCTAAATGCTGTGAAGTGCAGGACATCCAAAGGGGCACAGCAGGGGTCAGCATCACTGATCCACTTGGGCAGTATACTCGAGAGGTAGCAACCGTAGGCAAGAATGTTATGAATGGCCAGAGGGAGCACCCAAAGCCGAGGTAGAGACGCTGATAGAGGAGAACAGTGAGTCTATGAAGTCATCTTCACAGATGGATCTGTACTGCACAGAGTCAAATCTGGATGGGTTTTCAGGGCCCGTCTAAACAGGGTCATACAGAGTGAGCTGTCAGACGCCACTAGTATAACCATGTCCAGCATGTACATGGAGATGAAAGCCATTACAGAAGCCCTTAACTGGATTAAGACGACAGAGTATCAGTCAGCCATCCTCGTCACCGACTTGATGAGCACCGGCGAAAAAGTGAAGAAACACATGATGTATGCAGACTGGCAAGGAGCAATACAAAGCAGCAGACTAACAAGGATTGTATGGGTCTTTAGTCCTAGTCATGCAAGAGTTCAAGGCAATGAACGTGCTGATAAGCCTGCTGGCAAGGCTAAGATTGGCAGCACCATGCAATTAGATCCACCAACAGTCATGGTAGAATTGACAGCATGGTTCAACGACCACAGAGAGGATGAAGGCACCACATCCCATACAATGGAAAGACTAAGGGAAGCTGGTGTCTCTAGAGGGTTGGGAAGAGATAGAAACCTGCGTGGAAAAGCCAAAAGAATATCCAACCAGCAGATAACTGGCACAATCAGCAAGCAGACCCTTTCATGGATCCTGGAGAGGAAGGAGCAGCTATGGCATAGTGCTGCCAGCAATGATGCTTATTCTCCAACCAAGAAAGTAAGTAAAGAGGGGAACTGTAGTTTAGGATCCAAACCAATCCGATTGTTTCTTAACCGATTTTGGTGGGAGTTATGATAAAAACTGAGTTACATGGCCGCGGTAGGTGGTTGTACTCTACTTGAGGCCACTGAAACTCATCCCCAACTTGTCTGCAGCATGTTAGAATCTAATGAAACACCTTCCTAAATAAGAGCAAAGGCACGCCCACTCAAATGTAAACAAACTTCTTGGTTAACTCAAACATGGCCGCAAACAAACTCGAAAGTTTCCATGTCACGCAACCTCGTACGGCTTCTTGTCTAAAAAGGAGATAACTCCATGGTTTAAGCAAAGTTACAGGTCACAGGTAGTAGTAGGGAATGTTACTTTCTACAAAACAAATATTTTCAGCAGCAAGAGAATTCCCAAATATCTTTAGGAAATTAGAGAGATTATAATTTATTGTGATCTTAAGAGATGTGTAGATTTCACTTAGTGAATTTCTGATTGTCTTTAAAGACTGGCAGGTTTTTTCTAATGAGCAGTTGCAATAATAATAAAACCAAAAAGACAATAAAAGTAACAGTTCCTTGGACTACATAGCATAAAAAAGTAGATCAGATAATTTGACATCTGATCTGAAAAAAGGGATTACGCAAACTTCAGGTTTAGTTTAGTTTTAGTAAGAGTTTTATGGCACTTGCAACACAATAAGGTCATATAAGTGCCGAACATTAGAGGTATTACAAGAGAGTAACTAACACAATAAAAGAAAGAGGGGAGATAGAGACGATAGATTTTTTACAGGAAAGAAGGAGCAAACCACACCAGAAAACTCGCGAACCACCCACACAAACTTCAGGAAAAATTACATCCCTACAGAAATCAATATCCATAATAAGAAAACACTACAGTGTCTTTAAGAAAGGCGTAAGTAAGGCTTATGACACACATACCCGGATTTTATTTGCTCCAAGTTCCAACATCTCCAGCTGAGTCAGATGATTGATGTTCTCTATTTTACCAATTTTGTTATTAACCAAGAACAATTTCCTCAAGTTGGTTAATCCGTCCAGACCTTCAATCTTGCGCAGTCGATTGTAGGACAGATCTAAATGTCTGGAAGAAACAAACAGTCACACATGAGACAATATAGAGGGGTAACAAAAGTGCTGTTTCATTCACTGATCTGTTCAAAGACTTTTTTTTAGTAAGCTTAGACAAATAATTTCAGTACAATCTTTCTTCACTCTTTTCCTTCTACTTGACATTTTACCATCACTTCAGTCATGTTAAAATCAATGAAGCTACCAAAGAGTTAAGAAATAGACGTAAAACAAGGGTACAATCTAACTTGCTCAAACGACCACCTATCCAAGACGATTACCTGTACAAATGACAACTTCCCACTTTCCCCCTTGAATTTTTTATATATCGAAACGACACTGTCAAAGAAGACTATCTGTCTCAGATGACCACATTTCTCTTTGACAATATATGTGGTAATTTACGACAAGTTGAACTGTACATACACAACATAGTTGTGACAACATTTGTGTCACTATAACTATGATGGATTCAGGCACTTGTCAACTTTTGGACATATGCAGACCTGCCAATCATCCCGATTTAATCGCGATATCCTGATTTTTTTCTCCCAAATCTCAGGCATCCGATTTTCCCGGTTTCGATTACATGTATTCCGATTTTTTGGGTCCGTTTGTTGCGCTGGATTTTTCTAAAAACTCCCTCTGCCTTCTTCTCTGTCACGGGAAGCACCTGTAAAACTTCTAGTCAGCAGGCACTCAAAGCACTATTTTCTAAAATACTGATGCGGATTGAGTAGTTGAATCGCCCCAAGTGTGAAGTAGTGTTGAAACTTTGCTCGCATGAGTTATTTCAACTACAATGAAAGTAGAATCGATTTGGCATTCCTACTTGGGACATTCTTAAGATCTCCTTTAGTTTTTGTTTCCATTCAGAATTCCCTGATGATGGCCTGATAACTGTTTCAATGGCGACATAAAAATTACTATTTTGCTGTTACTTTAAAAAAAAGCATTGTCTGAGCTCTTGTTAGTCGGGTCAGTCGTCATGACCCAAAAGCATGACCCAAAAGGGAAACCTGTTTCAATTGCACTTTTGCATCACATGACAACTCTTTGGCATGTGAGTTGCGTGTGTGTCGGGGACCGTCCGTTGACCAAAGTTCATGCATGCTGGTTGATGTTGAAGGGTCTTTTGGGACTTATCGGTGTGTGTGTGTGTGTGTGTGTGAGGGTGTGTGTGTGTGTGTTTGAAACTTGCACTAGGAATTCTTGATGTAATAATTCAGGATAAAAAAAAATAAGGATAAAACATACACACACTACAAACACAGGGCGTATACATGGGTATATTTATGGACACCCCCAAGTAAATATTTTAGTCAGCTTGGCAGTCATCTCGATAATTTATCTTTGATCCCGATTTTTCCCCCCTGAGATCCTGATTTTTAGATTTCACAGAGTGGCAGGGCTGGAATGGAGTTATTCGTATAATCTTAAGGGAGTGCTTATTTAGGCCACATATGGCCTAAATAAGGTAAGGGAGGGGGGTTTAGCTTATTTGGGCCTCAGTGTGGCCTAAATAAGGTAAGGGAGGGGGGTTTAGCTTATTTAGGCCACAGTGTGGCCTAAATAAGGTCACCCTAATCTTAAAGCTTGTTCAATAATAGTCTTGCTTTTGATGAAAGAAAAACTCATCTATCTAGACTACAAGTTGAGATATTTGCGATCGAAGGAGGTGGGTTTCGCCTGGGGTCTGAGGTAAAAGAACCACTTGAATATAGATTTTTGAGGCTGGAATCAAAGCATTTTTGTGTCATCCTGATAACAACAAATAAAAACAGACTACCTTAACTCATTCGCTACGCCGAGCCGTGGGGGGCGGAGCGGCTAAAGTGCCGTCAGTACGCTAAGCCACCCCCGGCAGCTCGAGAACCGATCTTCAATTTTAGCTTAGATTCTATTCCAATCCACATATCCATGTTAAAATAAAGGTCATAATATAATGTTGACTTTCGGGTCAAGCATTTCCACTAAAAATCGGAAGTTTAGATTCAGTTTTGAAACCCGATTTCGTAGTTTATTCGACTTTGTTTTATCGCGATGCCAAAATTATAGCCCGGACACCTGTCTTAGTAATTGTACACAACAAAATCTATCATTATTTTGCCCACTAAATAAATGTAGGACTCTTTTTTTTAATATTGATACGATTGGACTCATATTGCCAAGGCACTGTTATTGAGAAATCAATATTTTTGAGTGCTAGATCTAAGTCTGGATCTAAATTGTCAAAAAAAATATTTCTCCCCAAAATCACTACTTTTTCATGAAATTACACAAAAGTGCCACTCAAGACATGTATAGGTTTATTCCAAGGAGATTAAAAGTAGTGGAGGATGCTCTGTGGGCGGCACCGCACGCCTGATAGGAGCCCTCTCTCGCGGCGGAACTGTGGTCTACCTGCGCAGCGCGAATGCCTGACTCACGCATTGAAATCTTGATAAGAAAGAAGGTTTTATTCCGAGGTCCTTGAGACTAGGCAAGTCAATTAGTAAAAATGCCTTGCACCTGTGTTGTATTTAAGTGTAAGAACCGATATGATGCTGCAGTGGATCGAAGTTTTCACAGTTAAGTTGTTTTCCTTTAAAAAAATTTGAATGAAAGTGTTTTTATGCCCCCAGCAACACAATTTAGATCATTAATATATATTTATAAGAGGCTGGCTCCGGCGCTACATGCCAAGGCCAACCCAGGCTGAAAGGGATACAACACCCCAGCAGAAAGACCGAGATACTCAATTTTTAAATAAGTAATTCTTATTCATAAATATATATAACAAGCTGGGCCCCCTTTCGATGAAAGGGATGATCGGTGCTTTAATATCAACTAAAAGTCATTCGCCTACTATATTTACACTCTACTGGAATGGGGAAATAAATCTTGAGAGATGCAAAAAATTAGAAGGTCTACATCTATACTCTCAAAACAAAATGCGCCGCGCGAAATATCACTTCCGGATTTTCTAAAATTACAGAGACAGAAGCGTCGGCCTACAAAAGCGATCGGCGAAATAAAGAAATTTAGCTTTTTGCAGCAAAACTGTCTCAAAACTGAAAAAACCAAGGGCGCCATGGTTTGGAGAATATTTTAAAGAATTTTTTGGCGAAAACCGCATGTCCATTGATGCAGCCATTAAAAAGCCTTTTGAATAGCAAAATTCGGCCAACACAAATAGATAATAGATTATTATGTGTATATATATATATATATAATTATTATGCGTGTGTGTATGTATATATACATATTATACATTTTAATTAAAGATATTGCTTTCCTTTGTGTGTGCAAATTAGATGCTACTGTAGTCTAAATGTTGATATCTAGAGGCTCCATTAGAATATGAAATCAATACTCAACAACAATAAAGATGAATATTCTCTATGTTAAAGAAACACCAAACCATATCAGATGAGGGGAGAGGGTAGGGTGGGGTGGATAAGAGTTTGAGTCTTGTTAGATAGAACTATACTCGGTTTAATTCTATTGTTGTAGTCTTCACCTAAGATCCCACAATCAATTATTCCGTTTCACTTAAGATTTTGCTGTTAAAAAATAAACCAAACAAAGCAAAAAACAAATTTTACTATACAAGAGTCATCCCTAAGATAAATTATCCCCCTCTGGAGTGTAATAAGGGACTAAAAACGCTGCTCTCCATATTATCATACTTTACTGAACAAAAAAACCCAAAAAAACCTTCAAAGGTCATGCACGCTCATGCATAGGATCACCTCCAAAGGTGCTGTTATCTCTTTTTTAAATATTTGAAATCATTGTGCGCTCCACTTCGTGAAAACCAGGAAACAAAATTATTGTAATCAATAATATTATTATTTATAGATCAAGTCATACTTTTAGCAATCTGATAAAGCTGGCATCGACCCTCTTTTGTGTCCGCTATTCCTTACACATAAAGTTAGTTATGGCACACGCCTAGGATCATGCAATCATACCTTAAATTCAGTTTAAAAGTATATTTTTATCTATTTCTTATAATTAAATATTTTAGCATCTTTAAAGATTATCTTTATAATTTGGTATGTTTGATAATTTTATGTTACTCGTACAAGTGTTCTTCTTATTTTACACATCTTTTTGATTTTTAAACAAGATTATAACATAAAACTCTTAAAAAATTGAACAGTCCGTATCACACACATAATTTTTTTTTCTTTCTCCCTGTCATTATCCGTCAGCCCGTCAGTTGATCACAATCTCTCTCTCTCTCTGTCTGTCTGTCTGTCTCTCTCTCTTATTTAATTTTTCCCATTCTCCTTCGTCCCTTCCCAAGGCCCGCCCCTCCTCTTTCATCCCAGCCCCATCCCCTCTTCCTTGCGTGCATTCCCCCACCCCGCCCACCCCTACAACGTGGCCCAGCCCGATAAGATTCTATAAAAAGAAACGCCACAGTTTGTGATTTAGCCCACAGTCGGCGGCCATATTTGATCCCCACCGCGGTGTACTGCTCGTGGCGCCGCGAAGAGAGAGAGGAGGCTCCATTAGTTCTAAGCTCCTTGGTTTATTCCAAATGCAATTCTGAATAATTCCATATAAAATACGAGTGGGTTTTTTTCTGTTTGTGATCGTTTTTCAAGGTTATAAATTTTTTACATTTTATTTTCAATTTGGAAGTCATGATCCAAATGTATAAATATTATGGAATGTATGTAAATAACTACAAACTTTTCAATATATTCCTGTTCTATAATCATTTATGGTTATTTTGATGTATCATTTGACTAGGTGCAAACATATTTTTTGAGTTTCACCAAAGATTATAAATTTTTTATTTTCAAATTTTATCCACATCCAATCAAAATTGTGTTGCATAATCGCCTCTTACAGCAACCAAAGTTGAAAAATACATAAATAAAAATTACAGATGTATTCTACAAACCATACTGAAAATATTGGTATATATTTATTTGAATTTGTGGCCCCAAAGACCTTTGAACTGCCTACTAGTCATCATCTCATTCGCCCTCCCCCAAAAAAATTTGTCCACAAGCC